CGCGAGATCGTAACTGGACGGTCTTGCATGGCGTCACAGCAGAGCTGGCGCTGGGACTCGGAGAGGAGGTGCTGCTGCGCGTCTGCCCCTTGCTCAAGAGAGAGCCAGAGCTGCCACTGGTGCAGCTGATTGCGGGCTTTGATGCTCCACCTCGACGGGTCCCGCGCAAGCGAGTCGCTGATCACGCGCGAGCAATCCGCAAGTAGGACCTGGTGGTAGTGGCCCGCCGTCGCATACGCCCACACCGCGTTGGCCAGGTTCTGTGGGTTGAAACCAGCCAGCCCGCTGCGCACCGCCGCCTCCGCCACCGCCGCATACAGCGCGTCCGCAGCCACGCCCGCCGTCGCAAATGCCCACACCGTATTGGCCAGCTCCTGCGGCTTGAAGCGAGCCAGCCCGCTGCGCACCGCCACCTCCGCCACCGCCGCGTACAGAGCCTCTGCAGGCACGCCCGCCGTCGCAAATGCCCACACCGTGTTGGCCAGCGCCTGAGGGCTGAAGCCAGCCAGCCTGCTGCGCACCGCGGCCTCCGCCACCGCCGCGTACAGAGCGTCCGCAGCCACGCCCGCCGTCGCATACGCCCACACTGTGTTGGCCAGGTTTTGAGGGTTGAAGCGAGCCAGCCCGCTGCGCACCGCCACCTCCGCCACCGCCGCGTACAGAGCGTCCGCAGCAACGCCCGCTGTCGCATATGACCACACTGTGTTGGCCAGGTCCTGCGGCTTAAAGCGAGCCAGCCCGCCGCGCACCGCCGCCTCCGCCACGGCCGCGTACAGAGCGTCCGCAGCCACGCCCGCCGTCGCAAACGCCCACACTGTTGTGGCCAGCGCCTGAGGGCTGAAGCCAGCCAGCCTGCTGCGCACCGCCGCCTGCGCCACCGCCGCATACAGCGCGTCTGCAGCCACGCCCGCCGTCGCAAATGCCCACACTGTGTTGACCAGGTTCTGAGGGCTGAAGCCCGCCAGCCCGCTGCGCACCGCCACCTCCGCCACCGCCGCGTACAGCGCCTGCGTAGCCACGCCCGCCGTCGCAAACGCCCACACTGTATTGGCCAGCTCCTGAGGGCTGAAGCGAGCCAGCCCGCTGCGCACCGCGGCCTCCGCCACCGCCGCGTACAGCGCCTCTGCAGCCACGCCCGCCGTCGCAAACGCCCACACCGTGTTGGCCAGCGCCTGAGGATCGAAGCCTGCCAGCCCGCCGCGCACCGCCGCCTCCGCCACCGTCGCGTACAGAGCGTCCGCAGCCACGCCCGCTGTCGCATACGCCCACACTGTGTTGGCCAGGTTCTGAGGGTTGAAGCCAGCCAGCCCGCCGCGCACCGCCTCCTCCGCCACCGCCGCGTACAGCGCGCGCTCCACCCCCGAACGCCGGCCGCACTTTGCAACGCCGTGAGCTATATTCGCCAGTGCTCGCGCATTGCACGACGGAATGAGGTCGAGCGTCCCCTGCACAAGCTGCTCAAGCTGCCCCTCGTGCCGCCGCTCGATGCGCTTCTTGCCCAGTTTGTTCCACAGGTTTGCAGCGTGGATGTGGTTCAAGCTCGTGCTGTGGGCAGCTACGAGCGCGAGCAATGCGTCGGTGCTGCCAGCATTCGAGATCACTGCGGACAGCTTTCGCGGTTCAATGTGACCTCCACCGTCAGCACAGCGGCTCGAGCGGTGGTGGGACTGGGACCGGTCATTGCGCCGATCGTAACAGTCCCGCTCGCGCCCACCTCTGCACCGGCAGTCGTCGTAGACGCACCGCTCGTCGTGCCATCGCTCAGCGGGCCGCCGTTGCTCATTACGCCGTCGTGGCTCATCACGCCGCTGCGGCGCGCCGCGCGAGCTTCGATCCTCGCAGCGAATGCACATGTGGTTGGACTGAGTCCCGACCTGGTAAGATAGAGCCCAACAATTGGCCTCGAGTAAGCGGAACTTTCGGTAATAGAGTTCTGTATACAGAATTTTACGACAAAGCTCTCTCGCACAACACTTGGCACGGGACTGGTGCGCACTGTATACACTGTATAACAGATTTGGTGGGAATTTAGTATTTCATTCAGAATTTCACAACAAAAGGCATCTATATCTTGCAAACATTTCAGAAATCGCGAGTCCGCACAAGTGCTCCAAGCGCTCCGCGGTGTTTCGATTTCCGCTCTCCTGCCCGCTCTCGCCAGCCCTTGATTGATTGATTGATGGGAAGGCGAAACACAGTCCGACCAACGACTGGGACACCAACGCGGTATGGGTGGACGCTAGACAGGCGATGACGGTCACACAGGAGCGACACACAGAACCACAAGACAAGACACTCAGCCCTTGGCCTTGCATGCAGCAAAACTACATGAATCTTCTCTCGCCCACCCGCGGTCGAGAGCAGTTTTGCCGTTGCACGAACCTCCGACAAACTTGGAGCTCTTGGACTTATTAAAATGGACTCTCGGGGGCACGGGACGCGGCACAGACGGGGCACAGACAGACGCCAGGCTACAGACACGGGGAGGCACGTAGTGACGCAAGGGAGTCTAGGCGACAGTGGCGTCCTCCGACGCCGCTTGGAGCTCTTGGAGTGCAGTCGGCAAAATCTCACACCCAGGGCCGGGGAGCTAAGAATCGCACCAGCGGGCCGGACGATTGGCATCGGGCTGCGGGCTAGAGAGCCCTGACCCTGGGGGGGGGGTGCGCGGTCGCAGGGCCATCGATAACGACAAGCGACGCTTTCCGTGGCGACGACCACGATCTCAGCAAGCTGAAGGCGCTCAAAACTGTCGCCACGATGGTCCTGCAGGACGGACCGATGCTCTATCGCGAGGCCTGCCTCGTCCACGCGCGCTCCACCTTCTTCTCGGACCTCAACGCGGCGCTCGATGCCGATGTCTTTGATTCTGCCTTTCGAGCTATGGCGCGGAAGACGACAACGGCCTAACACGACGGTTACTGTACGCTCGTGGTGGGGTGGGGGGTGGGGGGGGTATGTCGCGGTTCCAGGGCCGTGTGCACCATACCCTACCCCCTAAAAACCTCGAATCCCCACGCAGCCAAAGGATATATCACCTCGAGAACCTCGAGAACATCGGCCGATCTCAGTCTCCTTCGGAGCTTGCGCCGCACTCGCCATGCTTCACTTAGCGTGCACCTCGCTGGTGCCGCTCCGGACCTCGCCCATTACCATGAAGGCGCCAGAAGCTGAGCTGAGGAAGAACCTCGAGGCGCGAAACGCGGTGACAGAGGAGCCGGGTCGCCGAGGACGCTTCTCCAAGGCGTGGAGCACTCTCGAGAAGGACGCGGACTGGCTCGGGTTCGTCGGCGGCCGCTGTCTGGATGCTCTCGACGACAGCCTCTTTCGCGGCGGCTACCTTTCAAGTGGCTCTCCGCCACAGGGACAGCGGCCTCGGGTGGTCGTGCTGGGTTCGGGTTGGGGCGCCAATGCGGTGCTCTCGCAGCTGAAGAACGCGGCGTGCGACGTGACGGTCGTGTCTCCGCGCAACTACTTCCTCTTCACGCCCATGCTCGCGGGCGCCGCCCTCGGCACGCTGGAGCCGCGCAGGTGCACGGCTGCTGCTCTCCACCGCTGCCCTCTTGCCCTCGCTGCTGCCGCCCGCACCTCCTGCCCTCCCGCCCTCTCTGCTGCATGTGTGCTCACTTAGTAGTAGCAAGCTCTTGGGAAAGAAGATACTCCCACTATTGCTCACTGCTCCTGCCCCCACAGCATCATCGAGCCAATCCGCGAGGCGAACCCGACGGCGACCTACTTTGAGGCGGAGGCGACGGCCATCGACACCGTCTCCAAGGTGGTCACTTGCGAGAGCGTGGTGTGTGAGGGGGTGAGCTGCGAGTTGCGCGATTTCGAGGTGCCCTACGACCTGCTCGTCGTGGCCGTCGGCGCGTCGACAAACACGTTTGGCGTGAAAGGAGTGCAGGAGCACTGCCTCTTCATTCATTAATGAATAATTAACTAAGTATTTAATTAATTGTTCATTAAAGGAGTCAAGGAGCACTGCCTGTTCATGAAGCAGCTCTCGGACGCGATTGCGTTTCGCGAGCAGCTGGGCTACGCCTTCGAGCAGGCCTCGTCGGGAGATATGCGGAGATGAGAGGAGACATGGGGAGATATGGCTACGCCAGGCCTCCTCGGGAGATATGCGGAGATGAGAGGAGATGCGGGGAGATGTGGCTACGCCAGGCCTCGTCGGGAGATATGCGGAGATGAGAGGAGATATGGGGAGATCGCGGCAGACCACGATCAACTTGAGGCATCCGTTGCTCGAGCAGGCCTCGCTGCCCGGCCTGAGCGAGGAGCAGCGGAGGGAGAAGCGGACGCTCGTGGTGAGCTACCGGCCGTGACTGAAGAATTCATCGGTATTGAAGTACTTGAGCAGGAGAAGCTCACCTTCGTGGTGATCGGCGCGGGGCCGACTGGCGTCGAGCTGTGCGGCGAGCTGCGCGACTTTGTGGCGCAGGACGCCCCTCGGCTGTACGAGTGTGAACTACTTCATCAATTGATGTCATCAACCAGTTGCAATTGTGGCGCAGGACGTCCCTCGGCTGTACGAGGACCTGCAGCGGTTCGTGCGGGTGGTGCTGCTGGAGGCGTCCGACAAGGTGCTGATGGCGTTCGACGGGGACCTGCAGGAGGCGGCGCTGCAGAAGCTGCGGTCGGACGAGCAGGGCATCGCCATCGAAGTGCGGCTGAGCGCGGGCGTGCGGGAGGTGGGCAAGGAGGAGGTCCGGCTCTTTCCTCAATGAGTACGTGTATGAGGAGTGGTCAGTAATCATTAACTAGGTGACCGAGGAGGAGGTCCTGCTCTCGGACGGATCCACGATCCGGTACTCCCTCTCCCTGTGGGCAGCCGGCATCGGCACGCTCGACCTTGTTACTCGGCCGATATCGGCCAAGATTGGCAGAATGCATTGTTCACACTTCATGGCTGATGGCTAGGCACGCTCGATTTTGTGCGGAGGACGGCCGAGGCGCTGCCCGCCCAGGCGGCGCATGCCGACGAGGCGCGGGGGCGTCTCGCTGTCGACTCGTGGCTGCGCGTGGCGGGTGCGCCGGGCGTGTTTGCCTTTGGCGACTGCGCGCACGTCGTCGGGTCGCCGTACCCGGCCACCGCGCAAGTGGCTTCCCAGGCGGGCACCTACCTCGGGCGGCTCGTCGCGGACGGGTATGACTTCGGGGGCGGGGACGGGCCGCCGAAGCTGACGCCCGGAGCGCCGGGAGAGCGCACGCTGCGGCACGGTCTGAGCAGCCTGGCCCGGTCGAAGGAAGGGCTCGCGCCGCCCTTCACCTTTCTCAACCTCGGCATCCTCGCCTACGTCGGGAAGAGCGAGGCGCTCGTCCAGATCGCGGTCGGCGGCGACGAGGGCGGCAAGAAGGTCAAGGGGGCCGGGGAGGCGGGGTTCGCGCTGTGGCGCAGCGTCTACCTGAGCAAGCAGTACGGGCTGCGCAACCGGATTCTGGTTGCGGTGGATTGGGCAAAGGCGCGCGTCTTTGGCCGCGACCTATCGCGCTTGTGAGTAGAGGCGCGGCGAGAGGCGAATCACATGCAGCGCGCCGCACAGACGCTCGCTCTCCCTCTCCCCATGTCGCATGATTTTATTTTTCGAGGCGACCGTGTATCCGTGAACATGAGAGAAAAATCAAGGCAAAAGGTTCAACTTCGTTTTTGTCGGGAGGGGAGGGGCAGGCTGCTCACCCACGTCGAGCCCGGTCGAACACCCCGGGTCGCGAAATTTTGGCAAGTGAATACCGGCGCTTTTTTTGTGACGATGAAATAAGAATCTACTGCCCGAGGGAAACACATAGACACCCACATGGTCGTGACTATCCCTTAGTGTGTGGGGGTCAGTGATCACATTCACACCCCACTGGCACCCGTGGCACTGACCACTGTACAGTGTGCAGACCGACACATACAGCACGCACAATGAGCACTTACTATTAAGCGCGCGCATCCCCCGCGCTCGCCCTCCACGGCCGCTAAACGGCGCAAAGCACATGCCGGCTGCCTCTCCCTCGCGCGCGCTAGCGGCTCGGCGAGGTCGGCCAGCGCGCGAGCACAACCCCAAGACGATGCCGTGAAGCGGGTGGCTGCGCGACCGAGCCGCCATACACGGGGCAAACTCTCACTCGCCTTTAGCGTCCACCCGTACATGTACCGCGTTGGTGTCCAGTCCGAGCCTGGCTGTTCTTCACCTTCCTAACTAACCAACTCGCCTTTCTCTCGTTTGGGTTTGTCTGTTTTCTTTCTTTCTTTTTTAGGCGGACACTAGGGGGTTGTAGACGCTCTGAGGCCTCAGACCCCCCTCTGAGGATGGGTCGAACCCCTGGCTTGGCGGCACAGAGGGTTTGACTCTGACTCTGTGCCGCCTCTGTGGCCTCTCTTGGCTGATTTTGGCCTCAGAGGGTCCCTGGCCGAGGGTCTGTCTTGGCGCGGCACAGAGGGCGTTGACCTCAGAGGGTAGCCCCCTCTCGGCAGACAGAGGCGAGAGCCCCGGGCGGAGGCCGGAGCGCCTAGCCCTCCACGTCCCATTCCTCGTTTGCGTTCTTTGTTTTCTCTTCTTTCGTTCGTTGCGCGCACTGGAACTTACACAGGGATGTCGACAAAAGCACGTACCACCAGATTCAACATCTAACGCCACGCCTCACACAATCATGCTACATGCCATGTGCCGAGACTCACAAGCCTGACTGAGGACAACGCAGAGTCGCCACACGTGGACGCACGCCCGACAGCGCGCCGACGCCAGAGGAGTTTGAGGCCCAAAGAGAGCTTGACGGGGGGGAGGGGTGACCGGTCACAAGTGCGCCGCCATGCCTTTCAATTTCCCGCCAAGATCGTGTCCATCATCTCCATCGCCTTGTTCTGACCGTCCGAAATTCCGTTCTTCGCCTCATAAGCGCTCAGGATGCGCCCACTCGACGTATGCACCCAGGCGCGACCCTGCTTGTCTCCATGGCAAAGTGAGCAAGTCTTCCGAGGCTCCGTGCATGCCATGCCGCAACAGCCAGCCGTCCCGACGAGTAAGAGAAGGCTCCCTGCTACGAAAGTGGCCCCGACGGCAGCACTGGTGACACGAGATGGCAGGAAAATGCCAAAGAAGAGGACGGACTCCACGAGACAAACGCCAAGGTTGTTGTTCTCGTCAGTGTCCGGGGTGTAAGGGGGTGCACAGATGTACACTGACCCGATGGATCCTCCAACTGCGAGAATCGATGGCACGCTCAAAGGGTTGTACTCACCCCGATCCATGACTGACCACAAGGGCGCATCGCCAGAGACAACGGTTCCGGCACCGTCGCATGCAGAGCAGGTCGTGTTGGGCAAAATCTTGAACTCGTATCCCTTGCGGGCCTGCCATCCGTCGCCGTGATTCTCGAAGCAGGTCGTGCAAAAGCGGTTGCGGTTCTCCGAAACGCCATCCTCGATCTTCGAGCAGCGCCGGCACTTCTCCCTGGTCGCGCGGCGATTCTCCTCCTCCTCGAG